TGTCCCCTCTGGTTCTCTCTGACTCATGCAGCTCCTCTCGGACTGGATGCTATGGTGCAGACTTGGCCGAGGCTTCATCTAGACGCTTTTCCCCTGATTGCTGTATTGAAAAATGTAAATGTGCAGTATTTCTGAAAATTATATATTTTTTTTATAAAATCAATTAATTAGAGATGCATTTGATTATTAAAATTTAATGGAACCATTACAATGGAATCCAGAAAATAATGGAAAACAGAATTGATAAAACTGTAGAACTCAATTAATTAGACAGGCTGTTTGATTAATAAAATGTAATTTAACCATTAAAACAGAGTACAGAAAAATGAAAATGGAAAAAACTGAATTTGGAAATAAAACGGATTTCATAGTGCCCTATAATTATAATTTTTTTTTTGTGGTAATAAAAATAGATGTAAGTGAACAATAGCCTTTAAAACTACTTAAAATACATATATAATAGCAATGAGGCAATAATAATTAGTTCAAATCAAGTATCAAAAGCAAGAAATCATATGGTTTTATTGAACAAAATTGTTTAAATACATAATGTATTATAAACAATAGAGCTAATGTACATTACGCATTACAACAAAGGCCTGCAGGGGGCGCCAACAGCCTGATGATTGTTTTTACACATTACTGTGCGATCTAATCCTTGTTTAATATTGACCAAGCACCATTTCATTCAAATGTCCACTTAATCTATAATATTTGGCCATTTCTTTAGGACAGAAATGCTATAGCCACTGTAATTAAATGTGGACATCAAAATGTGTAAACTCAGAGTGAGAGTTTGAGCTTTTTTGAAACCGCGATGTATTCTCCTGTGTTTGCGTAGGTTTATAAATTATTTACCTTACAAATCTGATGAAATGGCGAATGTTGCATTCCCAGATGAACGTTGTCTCGTTCCCTTCGGGGAACCATGGTTACATGCGTAACCTGGAGACGTTTTTTTAAATTGAAAATCTGACTGAATAAGCCTCTTTATAGCAGTAAACATTAGAACATGTCCACAGAAGAGTCAGTGTAATCGAGTTCCGAACCTGCTGAAGCCCCGCCCCACTCCCCACACACGGATGCAGCTGATTGGCTGAGAGTGCAGGAGGGTGTGGTCAGCCGGGTGGATGAGGGTGAGAGTGACATTCTGCAGGACCAGCAGCATCGTCTGTGTCTGAATGAGAAGGAGAGAGACTCTCATGAGTTTATTACTGAGACCGGATGTGCTGGAGTCTCTGCGTCTGCGTCTCACCTGCGGCCTGTCCGTCTCTCTGCGCTGATGCAGCTGCTGGATGCAGTCGCTGAGCACCGCGCCGCTCTTCCCAGACTTCACATCCACATCCCGCACCTCCAGCCAGCCCAGATACTGGACCGGAAACACCTGCAACGTGAGCTCAGAGTCACATCTAAAGCAGACTGACAGCAGGAACACAACGTCCCCGTCTTACTGTGAACGATTCGCCAGTGCATTTCATTTCAAATAAAAACAAACACACGTCTGTCTTCATAATCTTCCATCAAAATGGAATAAGAGACATTTATAAACCGGGTAATTCCGGTGCTTGATTCTGATTGGCTGAGCCGCGTTTGAAGCTGTTGTAAATTACTCTACAAACATACACCTTGTTTACGTTTGTGTGTTGCTTGGCAAGGAGTTTTAGTCACTATGCTTCGCGTCATACCTAACAACATCCCTTAGCTGTTATAAATTCACTGTGAACCATGGCTTCACGGGGCTTATTGCTTTATTTTACCACACAATCAGTTCCTGCTCTACATTTATTTACTCTCTAAAAATCAATTTTCACATAAAGGAAGTAATGCAAGATGCTAAGAAAAGATCTTAAATATAAATTGATATTTTCCAGTTTTCTTTGTTTCATTGATTTTTTTTTATGTTTCTTAAGTATTTTACATATTTCTCTATAAGATTTAAATGGTCTTAATAACAATAATTCAATGAATTGTGTGCAAACACACAAAAATTTAGTATCACTAAGATACTATTATAGTTTGTTAATGTATTGAATTAGATTCTCTGTTTATATTTTCTGCTTTCATATTAATTTTAGTTAAAGTTTTAGTAAATTTCTTGTCTTTTTTATTAGTTTTGTTGTTTTTAAATATGTAATTTTTATTTCAGTTTTAGTTTAGTTAAGTTAAACTAAATGAAAATGAAAACTGTTTCCTGAAATAAAATATTTTTATTTAAGAGTTTACTTTCGGTTAACATTTAATTTCAAGTAGTGAAAATGTTTGATTTCATTAAAAATTCTAATATTTTTCCATAAACTTTTTATTTTAATTTTTTACGTCCATTAATGTACCGAGTAAAAGCACTTCCTGGTATAATTTAAAGCACCACACTTTAATAAAACATGTTTTACAGAAATCTCAAAGTTGATTCTTCTCCTTTTGATAATTATACACGAGTAACTCTTGTGTGGCCAATCTTGTATATACAGTCTGCTTTATAATAAAACCAATGATTCGATCTTTTAT